TTAATTGCAAGGCTATAGTCCGGTCATGCTGACTGGTGACATTTTTGACTGACTGGTGAGACACCCTAAAATTTTACACACACACACACACACACACACACACACACACACCAGCATATTTATCGCAGTGACAGTTGAGGGCTGTGTATAATGGTAGCTTTAATAGCATTTATTCTGTACAAAGATCAGCATCTCATGGCAGCCATTCAGACTCCACTTCAACATGCATTGTTCTTTCTGGATTTGAGTTCTAATATGTTGCTTTGCATTAAGTGCATTGCTCTTTGTCTTTTTGAATGAGCTTCTACCTCTCCTAAAAATCTATGCCATAAAACCAAAATGTTCATGTTGACGTATGTGTGTAAAGATTGTGAGCATCTGTTAGGGCAGCATGATCTTTTATTCTTCTTTTCTGTACAGATGATCTGAATACAGAGCTGGTTTGGGGAATTAAGGCCGCTCGAGCTGTTGTCCCAGCTGTCTTTTCATAGTGATTATTACAAATTGGACTCCCTACATAGCTGATCACTTTGTAGTCCAGACATGGGGAGCTTTCATGAAAGTAGAGATTACTGTATGGCAAGGCAATCAGAAGTGTCCGCCTCGGTATAAAACATTTAGGAGCTGCCATTTTTACAATATTTAAAGCAAATTTGTTACATAAATATTTAGTACTGTGTGGTTTCTCAAACATTTAATACTATGTGGTTTCCCAAACATTTAATACTATGTGGTTTCTCAAACATTTAATACTATGTGGTTTCTCAAACATTTAATACTATGTGGTTTCTCAAATATTTAATACCATCTTTCTGGATAATCCACGTCTTTGTACATCATATCCTATCACATTCACATTAGGCTGGAAATCACACTGAATTATTTTGCTGACACATATCACAATATGTTGATTTCTCAAATCTATTTCTAAAGAATTGAGATGAAGATGTGTAAAGCTGTAGATATTAGAATTCTTAATCCATAAGGAAGGCTTCTATCTGTATTCAATTATCATGAAGGGACAGGTGGCTGGCTGACCTTTGATGGTATCTGGAGGAGTCATTGGCCATTCCCTTTGGGAATTGAGGCTGTAACAATGAATTGTGTAGCTGTAACATTTCACGGAATCAGTTTTTTTTTTCCATTTGTCAACCGTTATTGCCCCTTAAATAAAAACCCTCCGTTATCTCATGATATGTGTGATTTACAGCCTAATGTGATAGGATGTACAAAGACATGGATTATCCAGGAAGGGGGCTTACAATAAATTTTGAAGGTACTGTGATCATGTGAATTGTTAAAGTGACATTAAAGACTTCCTTTTTTTAATTTTTATGGTATACATGTTGCCTCTTGATATTCTTCTGCCTGCTTTGACCGGTCCCCTCAGCACTTGGACCACTTTCTGGTCTCAGGGTAGCTCCTTTCCCTTGCAGGGTCCTGTAAAAAACACCATTGCATGTGTGATTCCAGCTGGGACTAGAGCTGAATATATGTGTATCAGTGCAAACACGCGGCTTATACATGCCGCTCCCCTCTTCTGAGCTAATTGGCTGCTGTTGTGCAGTCCTTTACTAAAGACATGGAGTGGCTAGGGAGGGGGGTCGGAGGAGTTAGAGTTACAGAAAAGGAAGGTATTTGGGCTGGTAAGGGGGTGTTGGAGTGATGGAGGTGGAATGGGCAGGGTGATTTAAGAGTTAGGTACGACACTTTGAACAGGGCAGGGAATGCGGGTTGGTGTGCAAGGGTAGGATGGGAAGTGTTAAAAGAGAACTATGGGGTGAGTTTTTTCGCCATAGTTCTCTTTAGGGTCACGGGAGGACATATACCAACCTCCTCCCGCGACCCAAAGCTCAGTATATCGCAAGCTATAGCTTGCGATATACTTAGAGCACCGCAGCAGGGACGGATTCCAACAATACTGTCGTGATCCACCCAGCTGCGTGAGTGACAGCTGGCTCTGCCTATCCAGAGGCAGAGCCAGCTGTGCCCGCCCCCTTCCCCGTTCGTTCCTCCAGTCAGCGCTGGAGGATCGGAGCGGTGACTGACAGTCACCGCTCACTGCAGGGAGACAATCTGGAAGTGAGCGGATCGGCTGCATGTTTCTGCTCACTTCCCAATCAATAGAGCCGACCTGTGACAGCTTCTTTGTCACAGATCGGCTCTAGCTAGGAGGATGTGTTGAAATCACTAACCTCATAGTTCTTCTTTTAAGGGTAGTTGGAGCTCAGACGTGGTGGGAGGGAAGATAGGGGCTCAGGAGGAGTCAGTATTGTTGGGTTAAATTACAACTAATAATATCAAGGTTGTAAAAGAGGTTTAGAGCTGTAAGGGTTTGTATTTAGGGAAATGGCTGAATTTGAGCTTGTAGAACCAGGTGTGTCTCAATCTTTTGTCCTGATGGTGGAGTGAGAGCATGAGATCTTCTATTAGCAAAATCTCATTGATTCACGTGAATCATTGGCACACAGTGAGAGGAGTGGATTATTTGCAGAGCTCTGGGATACATGCTGTGGCTGCATTAACCCGCATTAGTTATTTTAACCTAATAGTTATTATCTCCCATGATAATTCTAGACCAGTTCAGTTATCGGTTGGATGTGAAATCATTTTTTTCCCTCTACATGGAATGGGCATTTACCTGTTGTAAACCTTGATTTTTAATGAAGCAATTGATGATCAACACCCACCTCAAGCAGCTTTTTTTTCTGCCTGTTGACCCACATAGACACCTCACTGAAACTTTATCTCCATTTTGAAGCTAGAAGTATTTTAAGGATAACCAGTAACCTGTTCATTAATCTTTGTGAAAGATTAAAAAATCAAAATACCTCAAAAACAAATACAATAATTTGTGTACGCACTCAATTAATCTAATAAGGGTAATGCTCTTGATGAATTGAGAAATTAAAACAACTGAATTAATAGTAATGAAAATGGCTGAAGAGTAAGGGCCTGTGAATTGAGCCTTATGGCTTCCAATCATAAGGGACTGTAAGACAGTGGTGGTGGAGTTAAATTATAGAAGGCCTTGTGCGTGGCCCCCAACACTTCCAGAGGGCCTCACAACAGCAGCTGCTTTTCTTGCGTTAAAGTGCATTGCATTGGGTTAGGCAGCCTGTTCATTGGCTGTAATGCACTGAAACATCTGACAATTTTGCTCCTCTTGTATTTTTTACTGCAACAAAGAGAAAGTGGGAGTAAAATAAGCCATATTGTTTGTGTCAGTGGCTTCAATAATAACTCCCAGCATTGGTTTCAGGGGACGCAATATTAACACCCTGCATTTGTGCCAGTGACCACGATAATAACACCAAGCATTCGTGCCAGTGACCGTGATAATACCACCCAGCATTTGTGTCAGTGACCACAATGATAACATTCAACATAAGTGTCAGTGACCTGAGTTTTAACCCTCAACATTGGTGTCAGTGACCACAATAATAACCCCCAGCATTGGTGTCAGTGACTGCAATGATAACACCCAACATTGGTGGTCACTGCTATAGTAATAAACCCCCCTAATTAGTAGTCAGTGGTAATGCCCCACTCTCCCTCCCCGCATTGGTGGTCAGTGGCACTGTTAAGTATCCCTCTTCTCCCCACATTGCTGGCTAGTGGCAGTTTAATGTGAGAACGGTTTACTTACTTTCATGGTTTCACCCAGGCTGGCTCAGGTTAGGCAGGTGCAGTCCATCACAGTGTGGCTGACTCCATGCTGCCAGCTTCCCACCTCCTGATGGCCTATCAAACAGCAGGCCACACATAGAGCCACAGAACGCATGTCGGCCACCACTGAGACCATGTGATCTAGGTTGGCAGCTCTGGAGTAGCCATTTTTTTTGTTCTTGGTAAGCAAATGGGTAATTTTTTCACTCACAAAATGTGGTTTGGTAATTCTCTGCTCTATTGATTTTATATGAAGTATACATTTTAATAATAGGTCTACCTTCACAAATCAACATGATGAAGTTTTTGTCTCTCTGCAGGGCTACAACGCACAGTGACCTGGTACTGCGAGCAGCCAAGGCAGGAATCCAGCACCGGGTCATACATAATGCCTCCATACTTAATGCTGTGGGTTGCTGCGGCCTTCAGGTGAGCATGCATGTTTCAGCGAATCTTTATCACCAATACATTTTTTAGTATTCAGTCACTTTTTGTATAAACTTGTCCTGCAGTATTGCTGCTTTCTAAAAATGAAACCTATACTAAAATATGGATTGCCTTTACTAACTGAAAATTTTCTATGTGTAGTTGTCGCTGACTTCACATTCTGTCACTGACCCAAGCCAAGCTTGCAGCAAGTGAAGTTAGAACTCCTAATCCGGATGTTTGTTCTATATCAGAACGTATTGAAGCCATTGGGTCAGCGTGACCGCCAGATGGCTTATATTTTTAGGAGAGGACATTGATATAATCCTACAAGTGTCCCATTATGATTGGAAGGTAGCCTATAACGTTATCTATGGTTTTCTTTAACCTATGTAGTGCACATGTGTAAAGCCTAGCATTACTGTACTAATATGGATAGAATAATGACATTCTGACTTGATTGTCTTTCTTCATTTAGAACTTTAACTTTATAGAAACTTTATTGTGAAACTTCCTATTAAAAAGAAGTCCCCACACGGCTGCCTATAGACTCGGATGGGGCATCCAATCGGGTCTGCCTGAAAAACTGACCAATAGACCCTATTGGACCAGCTGCGTGAAAGGGGCCTTAATCTTACAGTTTTCCTTTTCAGTGCTGACTCTAAAATCTCGCTCCTGGCGGACAAACAGAACAGGTTTGGATTGAAGTAAAGATAAGTATGTGTGCAGTCGAGGGGGATAAAATAAAATTTGTTTCCCCCCCTATGGGCAAAGGAAAGGTTCATTTTAACTTTCTTTGCTTGCACTATAAGGCTCATATGAATATGCTGCTTCTTTTGTCAGTATAACGCAATTGCTACAAGTAAAGCATTGTATTCAGTATGTCAAATATGCAAATTTAGCCGCCATAAATAATTCCATTGTGTAAGTACAATATGCTGCAGGTTTGTAGTCAATGCTCAAATAACCATAAATTAGTTTTCTAATGTAAGCAGGCACAAGTAGTTGTGGTCTGCCTGCAGCCTGGCATTGAGGGAAGAGCAGCAGGATAGCAGTGAGCATCTGGTAAACAGAACTCCGCAGACAGCCCTGAAGGCTGGCTGATATTAGCTTACATACTAATGTACTTTGCTATGGAAAGGTGTTTCCTGTTGATAGGAGGACAGTATAGATTTCTACTTCCAGGCTTTACACATGACACGAAAATATAAGCCAAACAGATTGGAAAGTTTTTTTTGTAGTGGGGAAGCCAGTCCAAGGTCAAGGAAGGCTAAAATTGCAATTTATAAATACCAGCAATATTTACTTCAAGTTAGTAGAGCTTTAAAATGTAAATGGCCTCATTGATATTGCTGTTCTTGTAACGCCGGGAAATGATCGCACTAACTTTAACTTTTTCTGTGAACAACCATTTCTCAGCATTGTCTGGTTTCAAGTACGTCTCCAGTTTTATAAAAAAAAAGAAAAGCTGATATTTTAATGACATCTAACAGTGATAATAGTGAGATCTGGTTAACCCCAAAATGTTTGGAGAGAATGCGGGTGTAGTATTGAACACACCCTCATTTTCCCTAAAAAGTCGTTAACAAAATGGTAAAATTTCAGTCTCAAATGTATGCTAGACAGCCAGAGAATTTGACATAAAGTCCGGCTAAGAAAGAATGCAGAGATGTCATAAACCTCCACCAGAGGGTCTTCAAAAGACTTATAATGAGGCCCTGTCATAAATGGTCAGCTTGGAGACTGATGAGTTAAAGCAACTAGGGATGCACCAAATTTTCGGCGGTACTTTGGGCAAAATGCAGGAAGTACCTTTTTTTTTTTGCCAAGAATGCGGTGCTTCTCTAGTTTCTCTCCTCCCTGCTGGGTGCTGCTCTGTGTCCCCTCTGATACCTGCTGCTCCCCCCCCTGCCTGTGTTGGCAGAGGCCGCAGGGATTGATGGGGACACAGAGCAGCTTCCAGCAGGGAGGCCGGGCAGGGAGGAGAGCGCTGTCAGCGGTGTCACAGGAGGCCAAGCTCTTCTCCACACACTACCTGCTCAGCCTCCTGTGACAGGCAAGTCGGCATGGAGAGCGGTATACAACAACTCAGGCCAGGTTCACACCTGGGCGATCTGTGACCGCACAGCAAACGTACATGAAACCGTGCAGATGGCCGCGCAGTCACAGAATCGCACACCACCGCCGATCGCGCTTGCAGTGCTATTATTTTCTAATGGCGCCCCAGGCAGATCACGTGGTTTCAGTGATTTGCCGCGCGGATGTAACCCCATTGAAATCCGTGGGGCTGGACGGTAAGTCTGCACCAGCCCTAGGTGATCAGCTGATTGCCAAGTGTTTGTAAATAACTGAGGACATAGCATGCTTACTGTGTCACTAGTTATGAATGAACAGGAAGTGCTCTACATCGCTTCCTGTTCATTCATAATTGTGGAGATAGTAACTCATATTATCTCCACAGTTTATGAATGAACAGGAACACTCACTATAGAGGCTTCCTCTTCATTCATAACAGGCTGCAGAAAAAGAGATTGAGGACTCTGTCCTCAATCTCTTTTTGTATTTTAAAAGGGAAATATCAGGGGTCTGTTTATACCTCCGATATTACCCCAAAGCCCCGATCGTAAATTAAAAATAAAATATAATACATTATTTTTAAAAGGTTAGCAAAAAAAAATTCGGTTTCAGCCGGACAAATGTTTGGGGGTTTTTTCGGTCTAAAAATTCAATTTCGGTGCACCTTTAAAAGCAACACTTTTTTTGCCCTGAATTACAAAGGCCACTTCTAAAGGTGAACTGTTCAGCCTATAAACAGCTTGCTAGTGCATAACTTGTAAAGGAACAATTGGCTCCAGTCTGTTCTCTGAGGCCAACCTTTTTCTCAGTTGGTCACCACAATCTTGCCTCTCTCACACATCGCAAAGAACGTGAAACCAGGCTGCCAGTCACTCCCACATGCCAAAGATACCACAGACCTTTTTCTGACAGTCACATGTGACAAATTTCTACATACATCAGCAGCAAGTGGGAAACAATAGAGATGGAACTCTTGGTTGTAGAAGGGTTCACTTAGATTTACCTAAAGCTGCATTATCAGAGGAAGTATTTTTAATTCTACATGCCTAATCTTAATATGGGCTCATTCTAGACCAATCCATTGGTATGATTTACGTTTTTACTTTTCTTTGTAGCTGGTTCTTGTTCCTTTTTTTCCCCCCCTTACTTTTCTAAGCTGTTCCTTTCTCTCTATAGCCTTACCTCAGAAGCTTAAAGAACAGCTGCTTCCTGTTCCTTCCATGTGTCTAGCTGTGCTGCAGTGATTGTAGAAGCTGACTGGCTAAGAGTTTTTACTTTTCTGACATATAAATAGACCTATAGAGTCTAGTCATTCACAGGAGCATAGTCTAGTTATGCAGGGAGTGGATTAGAAAAAGTTGTCCCATTAGGGCTATGATGGCCATATGTCCCACACATAGGTCAGCATAGATAATGTCTTGCAGCTTCTGTTGATAATCGGGTAACAAACTTTTTCAATTTGAGTTCATAATGATTGACCGTAATCTAGGAGCTTAAGTTGTTATATTCAATAAGCATCTTGGCTAGATGAAATATCCATAGAAACCCATAAAACCAAGGCAATTAAGGCCAGTTATCATTGCTATTAAGAGTAATTGTACATGAAAGCTCCTCTAACATTTTCAGAATGCTTTAAACTAAAAAAAAAAGAAACAGAGTGCACCAATAGTATATTAACTAACCTGAAGCACAAGAAAGGTCAAATTTAATTCACAAGGGAAGAGTAATAATCACTTGTATCTGTGGCCCAGATCCAGTCCAGGAGGCACTTCCAGCCATAGCCAGCAGTAGTAGATCTGAAAGAGGCCAAGAGTAGGTAAATTTTCTCCTACTTCCAGGTCAACACAATAATGGTCATCAAAGTGACACATTTTGGGGAGGGATCCCCTTTGTCAAGCCTAGTCAGCAGTGTGTCTATACTTCTTTTTAAACTATTCAGCAGGCGTAGGATCTGGGCCACAGATAAGTGATCTCTTTTTTCATTCATTAACTTTTTTTTTGCAAGTACAAAAAACAAAATGCAAAAGGTAAAAACATTCAAAACCATAGGAATACAGAAAAAAAAAGGAAAAAGAGCAGAAGGTAATAAGCATATAACCCATACCACAGGGATACACACATCCCGTTAGATTAAATCAAAAGTGATAAACGAATGGACATGTACATAACCTCTATACAAGACAAATATAGGCAAATGGGGTTGTATGGTGACTAAGAAAGAGGAATGGGGTGAGAGCTGGTATTGTCCATCTGGGAGATCAGTTAGGCGATAAGCGATCTTTACACTCTTCTCTTATGAGTAATTTTTTATTTTGTGTACCTTTTGATTAAAGTCATTACTACACTATCATTGTGCTCTCTGCCTGTGGTTCTGTTTTTAGATTAGTGGCACGACTCTCTAAACCATTTTTTACTAAGAGTTGCAAGATAACTGTAGTGTCCCTATTGTATTTATTCCTGGATTCATACTTTACATTCTAATTGACTAAGGTTTGAATGTATATCTGTGCTCAGAAAACTCTTTAATATGCTTGAAAATAACACATGTATATTCTGTTCTATGTTGGCTTATATTGGGCAAAGCACTTTCTGCAAAATCCACATTACTTACCAAGCTTGGGTTTCTAAAACATAGAGAATAAAATATAAGTATACAATTTGACAATGTGTTAGTCTCTATTGGTGCACATTGTCCACACATCTATTTGTACAGCGTGTGAGTTATCTAATGGGCCACTGCTTAGGTTGGGAAGGGGTGAACAGTTGGTGTATAATATGGGAACCATTCAGCCTAATCTTATAGTGAGGTGGTGGCCGGCAAGTAATAAAGGCTTTATTTGACAGCAAAAAGACCCCAAAGTTATAACTCTATATACAACTTTTTATTAGGTACGTTGGCTGTCTGATTTCTTGGATACAATATGTCTAGTGCTGGAGGAAGGTCGGACATTTCTGAATGCTTCTCCTGTGAACATAAGTAAGCAAGTAAAAAAAAAAACCCATCAAAGCTCATCAAGTAGGTTTACAGTAATCCTTGACTCTATTTAATTTCCACCTTCCCCTGAAAACAAAAGTGAGCAAGTAAAAAAAAAAAAACATCAAGGTCAACTACTTTGGCTTACAGTGACCCTTTATGCTCTTTAACTCTCTCCCCCCCACCCACCCCCCAACCGCTGGGAACATGGAGAAATATCTGGGAACTCTGGGTATGGGTGAGCGTGCAACTTACTTTCTTCACATGAGTCGAGGAAGGAGTCCATTACCATGTGTAAGCTTTAATAAGCAAGTCTAGAGCTTCCACAGCAAAAAACAGATGAGTACATTCTGCAGCGTAGAGGGGGTGGGATGACCCTTTAACTTGGCTGTATAGCATCAGTACTTCTGAGCTGTATGGCTGGATCAAGCATGCCACAAATAATCCAGACAGAGAACAGTCAGAATTCCTTATATCTATACATGTTCTAGGTTCTTGACTTAAAGTGGTACTAAAGCCTCAGTTTTTCTTCTTCAGATACTTTCCGCTTGCCCTATTAATCACTTACCAATTAATTATTCTTACCTAGAATGCCCATAAACACTTACATTAGCTTCATGTGAATGGTGCAGCCTCCAGTGTTCTCAATGCAGCTTCCAGGAACTTCCTGTTTGGGAGCGTGCACTGTCATTCCCTACTCGGGACTACATGTCCCACCATTCATTGTGCTGTCAGGCATGTGCTCTGGCACCACTGTCACCTCATTGCTTTTCCTCTAGGCTGGCTGTGCATGTATGGCCAAGGCAGCAGCGGCAGGTATACCGGGCGCGTGAACGTAAGGGTGGCTCTAAGAGGACTCCATAGGAACAAGGAGCCACCCTTACAACGGAAATCAAGGCCAGAAATGGAGGATGCTGGTGAAATATAGAGGCAGAAATGAAGAAGGTTCATAAAAAGCAGCACACAATGCAAGTCCGGTCTTCAGTATCTCAGTTAGCAAAAATTTAAATATCACTTTAAAATATTGAAGGTAGTGCATCAGCACAACAACCAGGTAACTAGCATTTATAAGAGAGGTCAGCAATAGGAGCTCACATTTTTATCCCACAGCAGGAGTTCTTTATTGAAGATTCTTTTATTGTTAAATTGAACGCTATTTCTCCGTTAAATATGTAACATGTTTAGGATAAATGACAATGGAGAAATGGGCATAGTGTATGTAAATAAGGAGATACAACTTCCAGTACTCTATATAACTCTAATATGTTCTTATATGTATTCTAGCTGTATAACTTTGGAGAGACCGCTTCCATTGTCTTCTGGACAGACTCTTGGAAGCCGGAGAGTTTCTATGACAAAATCCGGAGGAACAGACTCAGTGGAATGCACACTCTGTGCTTGTTAGGTGATGTATATATAAAAGTGAATTTTATAAACAAAAGCATGGCGCTTTATGAACCACAACACCCAATCCAATGTTCATCATCATTGGAAAACAGATGTTTTATGATTGGTTCCTGTGGGATAATGCACCTTGTGCACTGTGCACGCTGTATTATTTAAAGACCTTATAGACTTGTGACGGATATTAAGACTCGCTAACAATCTGAATTTCAAAATGTATCAATTGTTGCACCGCAGCAGTGTTAAAAAAAATCTCTTGCTCCCTCTATAAAAGGCTTCCGGCGTTCTAGTGTTTCTCCAATCAGAATAGATGTGAAATGCTGAGGACTGTTTCTTAAGCTGGTCATACACTATTATTTCAGCCAATTCATAGGAACCATACGAAAATCAGTGTCTGCCAGCCTGACAATGGTCAATTACTAATTTCACTTTTGTCGAACGAGGGGGGGGGGGCAGAAAATAGTTGGCTAAACAGTAACTGCAGAAGGTCAGGCACAGTCACTGTTCAGGCATTCTGACAGTGGTGGAAGCCAGCTATCAGAATAGAATAGCCTGGCAGGGGAATTTTTTTTAACATGAATGGAGCAATCTGTTCAATTTCCTTAATTCAGCCCGCTGGCTGAACATAGGAAATCTATATATGTAGAGCTTTAGTTTCTAACAAGACAATTCAGGAGCATATTAGTACATGCTATAGCCAATTAATCTGCTTTACTTTGTGCCAGAATTCGAATATTCTGTTTGTGTTTCTGGTTTCATCGGTGACATATATTTTTCTTTTTTTACTGCAGACATCAAGGTGAAGGAGCAATCAATAGAAAACCTTATGAAGTAAGTCTACTTAATTATTTTACAAATTATATGTGTCAGTATATGTAGCTTCCTCTATTCTCTAACAAATTACAGTAACTTTATTAGGCAAAATCCACAATAGTGCAAGCCCCCATCCTTAGGATTTCAGTGCCCTCTGCTGGATAGGAGTTCACCTCTACTTTAAAGCAGACCAGTCATGCACATTAGAAGACTCTGTGCAGTTAATACGCTAATAGTTAGGCTGGGTTCACACAGTGTATATGTAAAGCCCATGGAAATAAAAATGTGTGTGTGTGTGTTATAACACTTTCACATGTGTAAAAATGCAAATCGACAGACATTTTTAACATGCTACAGAGAGAATGCATAGCTTTGAACCAAGGCCTACTGGAGAGAAATAGTAGCTGTAAAGCTAAATCGCACCTCTACCACTACAGTGTGTGTGTGTGTGTCAAAGAATAAATAAGTTTGAGTCTTAGGTGGATAATAATGGGGAAATTCTCTTTTATTAAAGCCACTATGCTTTCTGCCTCTATCAGGGAGTAGGCAACCTTAGCCCTACAGTGGAACTATAGGTCCCATGAGGCACTGACTCTGACAGCCACAGGCATGACTGCAAGAGGAAGATGAATGAAGGGATTTGTAATGGATTGCCAAGGTTGCCCATCACTGATCTTAAGACCTCGTCACACTTGTAGTCTATATTCACTTTTTTGAGATTTGCCTTTAGTTCTTGTCCTGATGACAGGAGCAAGAAGTGAGAACACATCTCCCAGTATGGACACCTGGTGAAGACAAAAGTTGGATACTATCAAAAACCTAACGGAGAATCTAATAATTTAGCTTCTATTTCCACCCCTCCTAAAAAAAATAGTTTGGGCTAAAGTTCCACTTTAATAATTAGACTGTTCTGTGCTTCACTTTAGACCATATATGATCATTTGTAAGACACATAAATAGTGAGTCTTTCATTAAAAAATTCATCTGGTGGTGTGTAAATATTGAAGGCCATTCATATCATTACGCAGTGTGTGGCAATGCATTTGTGTTACCGTGCGTTGCGACTTGTTGCCTTAAACAGCCCACTTATTTTGGCAGTGCATCTCTGTTCATGAAAAAAATAGGTCTGGTATGCTTTCTTGTGTGCAGTGCAACCCAGTGCACAGAGTTTATGCAACTGTACCTCTTATTCCTGTGCAATGCAGGTGCGTCACTGTGCACTGTCGATGTATTTTGGGGTATAGTATGTTGGCATGCATTTAAGTAATGTGTTTATAATCAGGGCTTGAAAAATGTTAGGGTGTCTCACCAGTCAGTCAAAAATTTCACCAGTCAGCATGACCGGACTATCGGCCTTGCAATTTATGTTAACATTTTTTGGTGACAGATAGAGCTTTCTTTTGGAGGTATATAATCACCACTAGGGGAGGGGTGTTATTTTGTTTACCATATGATGAAAAAAGTACCTTAAATGTAAAAAAAAAAAAGGCAAAGTTTCCCCTACGTTATGTTATAAAACATTTATTCTTAACCATATTTTTGGTAAAACATAAAAGTCGGGTAAATAGACACCAAACATTAAAATTCCGTGCGCCCGCAAAATCTCAAAAAACGACCACACTGAAAATTGCCCATAGACGCTTTTACTGCTCATCAGTTTACTGTCATCAGTAATTAATGGCTCTAAAATTATTGCTCTCACTCCGACGTTTGCGGCGATATGTAACATGTGCGGCACAAGGGGCGCAATCGTCGTTTTCGCACGTAGGCGCACCCGACGCATATCTGCGTTTGTATGTGGGGGGCAGGGGGACTTAAAAAAAAAGATTTATTTTTGTAATTTTTTTTTTATGATTCTTTCATTTTTGTATTACTTTTTTTTTTTTTTTTACACACAACTTTAATGCTATTACATGGGGGGCTAAGAATCCCCCTATGTGATAGCCAGTTTACATGACAGGTCCTCTTTATGGAGACATCAGGGGTCTCCAAAACCCCTAATGTTACCTAGGGACCCCGCAGAGAAGCTGATGAAGCAGAGATCTGCTTCATCAGCTTCTGTAGCTAGAGAGTGACACTGAAACAATTTTGAGGCACCCAGGGTGAGAGAGGCCAGTTTTAAATGTCAGGTTGTGAACTAAATAGTAAAAACTTGAAGGGTGCTGAACACCTACATACTTGGAAAATAAAAACATGCTCCTGTTTGTAATAGTTGAGGAGAAACTGTCTGATTTTATTCCATTTTTTTAAACAGCAGCTTTCAGTTTCCAGGCTATAAATTGTAGAGTAGAACATTTCTCTTTGTTAATTAACTGGTTAGTAAATTTATATCATACGTTTTTTCATTTTAAACTTTTGAAACTCAAAGCCACCATTTCCTATCAAATCTTCTCATTGTCCATCACCTTTAGCTTATTGTTTTAAAAAAATTGCAGTTATCTGTACTTATCAAACATCTGCAGAGACCTTTTATATTACAGACATAATTTATCATTGGTTAGTATAAAAGGTGAGATTGTGAATGTACTTATGTGTTTTATGATTTGTTATTACTATTTAATTTCAGGGGAAAAAAGATTTTTGATCCACCTCGTTATATGACTGTGAATCAAGCAGTGGATCAGCTTCTGCAGATTGTGCAGAACCGGAGGGAGCTGGGAGAGGAGCTAGGTAAGCATTTTCTAGGGGCAGTTCTGTTTTGAACTTCCTTATCATAAAATCTAATATTCACAAGTTTATAAAGGAGAAGTATGGGTAGAGTCAAATATTCTCCATGATGCTTAAATCAAGCATGGGACACTGCAGCTGTCCCATGGTGGCTCTAAGACAGAGAGCTGACCGATCAGCTCTTGGTCTCTGCTCTCGTCGGAGGGCAGTGACTTTCAGTCATGCAGTTTGTGTCAGGGTGTTACAAAATAGTTCTTCTGCCTGCCCAACATTTAAGTTTGCGAATACAACAGGTTTGTAAGCTTAGACTAGCTCCTGGTCTTTGCTGGAGAATCACGTTAGGGGAATGATATTACACTGTCTAATTTACTTTGAATAAGACCGAAAATGTATAATTTGTGACCTGACTTCCTAAGAAACAATTGTCTACATCCGCTATAGTTTTTAGGCTTCTGCTGCCAGGCGGGTTATCTAAAGCTGTGTTTGGCAGGGAGCAACCTGACCTGTCGGTGAAAATACATAGACTTGGGCTATGTTCTTCAAATGGCAGTTAGATGTGATCACGCTCCGAGCAATGAAATACTTTTTCTTTTCCAATTAACAGGCATGCTTGCAGCACTTAAGCATACATATTAATGGACAATTTCTTGGGGTAAGAGGGCTGTCAATTTTACCCAACCTAGTCAATGGCCATTTGCTGCAAGAACATTTAGATGGTTTTATATGACTCATCCCTTAGGCATGAGGATCATCACCCAATCCTGCTGATATTGGAAGGATTTGCCACTAATCATGACATGCCTGCACATACTGTTTTGAAGCCAGCTTAGATGTTTCTGTGCAGTCAGAAGTGATTGTCAGACAGCACACGCCTTTACTGGAGACTAAAAGCCACAGGATCATGCCAAAAGGATTAGCAGTAAGCTGCATGGTAATTTTATTTGTTTGCATTGCACATGCAGTGCTCATTTATGAGGATTCTGTGTTTGATCAATAGTGAGGTTTGGATATGCAGGTAGGGTAATTTAAGTTCTGGCATGTAGGTCAGCTACATCATAACTTTGTTCTTTATTATTGTGCTTTGTGCAGATGGCTTTATAATTAAATGTATTCTTTTAGGCTCAAGCCTGGGTTTTGCAAAAAAATAATAATGGGGGCATGTATCTTTTCAGCACTGGAGGGGTTACAGTACCGTGAGAGCTCCTTGTATCCTTAAGTGCTGCACATTTGTATGTTTTACATACACATCCTTTGGCGTGCTAATGCCACATCCTGTATTAGATCAGGGACACACCCAGTTCGTCAAGACTGAGAAAATGTCTTTACAGACACAACACAAAACTGGGCTTCCTGCACCCTTAGATGATACTGCTGGGACAAATGTCACTGATGAGCACCCCACTATCGCAAAGAGGAAATTACACGTCTGACCTCCTAGAGGAATCTCTTAGAGGATGTCACAGTGATAGGAAACAGAGTGAGAAGTATCAAGCTGTGTTCTTTCTAATACTTTATTCTCATACGCTCATATTAGATTATTATGGCTTCACCTTCTTGAACATTGTTTCTCCTTAAGGTTATTTGCACAGGTAATGACTCCTGTTACCAAGTGTGTTATCTGTGTATTAGCAGATTTATTTCAAAGGGTTTTCCACTTTCAGCAAGAAACTGCAAAATATCCATGGTTATCATCAGCCTTCTAGGAATAAATTCTTGTTAGATGTATCCTGTGTAGACCAAAAAAAAAAACAGCCCTGGGGTTGCTAAAGTCGTTTTCACTTAGAAGCGCATTGCTCTCAGTGGGCTTCTTAGCAAGAGCTGTCTTGCACCAAATAACACACAGAATTTTGCAAGGTTACTCAATTCTTCTTTATACAGCTAATCAATGTGTCTAGAGCAGAGAGAAACCTCATTGATCAGCACTGGACATGAGGGTTTAACCCTATTGATCAGCACTGGACATGAGGGTTTTCCATTTTCTTGCTAAAAGTAGACACCTACGTTTTAATGAACATGTCCAGAGTACAAAAATGATGCACAAAGTGCAATTAACCATGGCTAGCAAATCTAATTTTCCTGTCCATCAACTGATAGAATCCGCAGAGAGAGCTTGTTTTTTTTTTTTTATTATTACTTGCTATGGGTTATTCATAATTTCTCTTTTACTATTTAATAAGTCCAGAGTTGGCTCTGTCATTAAAACTAGAATCCATGTGTTGAAGCTGGTAGTGTGGTCGACAGTCTCTCAGCTAAAACAAGTGATGGTGAGCTCAAAAACAAGAAAACATAGCAGCTTAAAGTCAGTTGGCACTCACTCAGCACCAGCAGGCATCGCCAAAGCAAACCAAGAGTCACACATGGCTCATAGGCTTCGGCGCTGTTACCACTGGTCACTCATGGGCAATAAACATAGTTTATTAGCCTCAGCATCCCTGGTTTAATGCTTGTTCACACCATGTCAACTGAGCTGTGTTTGTCTGCACACTAATGCACATGTATGATATGAGCAGGGCACACAGAAAACAATGTGCAGTGGTTTGAAGCAAAATGCAGCTCAAAGGACTTCTTGTGAACAAGCCCTCAACCATGTGTAAATGACCACCGGTCGCCCATCCATGTAATTATTTATTTTGCTGATGTTTTCTTTATGAAATGCATATTAACAATAATTCACTTGCTTCCCCAGCTCTGACGGAGAACACAATATGCGTGGGTCTGGCTCGCGTTGGGGCATCAGACCAGCGCATTGCAGCAGGCACCCTGCAGCAACTCAGAGCGGTTGATTTTGGCGCGCCTCTTCATTCATTGGCGATTAGCGGCTGCATGCATCCCCTGGAACTGGACATGCTCAGACTCTATTCTGTGGACCCCTCTTGTTTTGATCAGATTAATGTAGAGGACAGCTCAACATATCTGTCTTCATAGACACTTTATGAAAACAAGCTGTGCATCACTGTACAAACTGCAGCAGCTACCCTGTGTGTGTGTGTGTGTGTGTGTGAGCACAAACAGTGCTTTGTATTTGTGCCAATGTGCTACTGTGTCCCTCTAACCAGTATAGCCATATACTAAGGATGCACCAGCTCCACGTGTTTGCCTTTATCAGTAAACTTGGGTAAAGAGCAGATTTGTATAGCTAAAAATAGCAGCCAATCAGAATTCAGCTTTTGGCTGTTTAGCGTAGTCACAAAGACTAAAGATACTGATTAATAGCGCAAGTTGCTCCATTTTGCACACTGCTCTTTGCCTTACTATATGAAGGCTTTTCAGCACGATGGTTCTATCAAATTTCACAATACAAAGAATGGAGGTGTGCAGCAACCAATCAGGAATTGGCATTCAGTGGCTTAGAGCGGGCTGATAAAACCTAATTACGTATTGGTTGATGTGACGCAACACTGATTGTGAAGTGCTCCGCAGTAAAGCTGACTACATTCTGAAATGGATAGCTTAGATATTCCTCTAATGACTTTAGGCTAAGTTGGTGGATCTTCAGATACATTCATCATTGGACCAAGTTGCCTGAGCTGTTACACAGAACTGTATGTACTGGTAAAGCTGGTGCTGATAGTTCTATGTTTAAAGCCCAACTCCAGCCAAAACCTTTTTAGGTTTATACAAAGTGGGTGAGGGTGAGAACCTTGGTTGGGTTTATATTGTGGTCTGTGTTCCTGTTGGAATGATTTGCCCTCCTGTCCCAGTGGCATGGTGTCACAAGGCCTGGAAGTGATGAATTATCTTTCATATGGCGACAGAGACTGCAATAAGGGCACATGTGGGGAAGGGTAGGGTTCGAACATTTATTAGGTTTTTACTGCTTTTTTGTGCCTTCCTGTCCTAGTGACACCCACACCCTCTCATTCCATAAGGCCGGAATGTCCATACCCTCCATATGTCCATACCTGTACACTCAGTCCTAAGTGCAGCTCTGTAACGCTGAGCCTTATAAAATCACAGGCTCAGCGTTACTGAGCTCCCTACCTGGCCGCTGTGCCTGCTACACAGACAGACGCAGCAGCCAAGGAGTTTTGTTGTGGGTGGGCGATTCCTGATGCGGAAGCAAAGAGACTAGTTCCACATCAGGTCCGCTTTGTGATTGACTGGCCAGCAGTGGGAGGATTCCATAGCCACTAAGGGGGGAATAGGGACTAGGTTTATAAAACTTAAACTTACTATTTAAGAATGAGCTGTAGAAAGTGCCTAGGAAGAGTTTAGCAGCACGCTGCCTGTCCTGATTGTTTCTGATTTAAATCTCAGAAAGGGCACTAGAATGGTAGAGGAGGAAAATGACCAGGAGGGATCGTAAGTGACCGGTGTGTGACATCGAAAATAAAAAAAATTGAAAACAAGGAGACCGAGGACTGAGAATGAGTGACAAGTGGTGCAGGAGATGAGCTGAACAGAAAGAACATGGCTGGACTGACATCTAGAGAAGGGGAAGTAGCAAAGTTATAAGCAGGAGGAATTAATTGTGTTCCTCCAATTATTCCTCCCACTGTCACTTTGCCCCCTTCTCCTGCTCTCAATCCAGCCACACTCCCTTCTTCTGTTCATCATCTTTCTGTCTTCCCCCACTCTGTTCATGTTGGTATGCCAATAAGGGGATATCTTTTCTCCTTGTTTGCAGTTTTTTCTTTTCACGGTATGTTCAACATTATATTGTTTAGTTGTTTATAGTGATGAATTTTACTTTAATCTGATTTTATCTGAGCATAGAAATGTTGTATTATTACAGCTACCCTTGTATTTGTTTTGTAGCCCTGAAGAAGGGGGAAGAACTTTAAGCCACTGAGACGCATTGGCTGTTTTTATGTCGTCTTGTATGAATTAACATCAGTATTAAAGTGACACTAAACTCCGGAGTTAAATCTTAAAAATGCATTCAAGTGCCTTAACTAGTAATAAAAATGTATCTGTGTATCACTCGGCTGTAGATCCTCAAATCATCTCTTTATTGGTGCTGACGCTGTCCTCCCTTTTGGAGGGTGGCTACTTCTGTTCCCCATGGTCTCTATGGGTGTTGTAAAGTAGCCACCGCTCCAAGCTCACTACCGTGATAGACTACAATCTCAATACAAATTGGTCAACTAAACGTGAGACTGTAGTCCATCACAGGAGCGAGCTTGGAGCGGTGGCTACTTTACAATACACAGATGATTTGAGGATGTACAGCCGAGTAATGGACAGATAAGGTACATTTTTGTTAATCGGTAAGGTACTCGTATGCATTTTTAAGATTTAACTCCCTGAATTTAGTGTCACTTTAAAGACGATTGGACTCTCAGTTCCTTGGTCTGGTACTCTCATTATTTTTACAATACCTGGATTCCATATTCCGGGTCCACTAGTTAACGGGTAACCTGCTGAGTGCTAGAGCCATTCTGCTCCCTATGATTTTACGAGACTTTCTTCAATCATTGCTAAATCAAATCCAGCGACTCAGACATCATGCATGTTCTAGCACTAAAAACTTGACAGCGGTTCTAACTCTCACCCACTCTACCAAAAACTGAAAACAAAATGTAGCTGGAATTGGGCTTTAAAAGAATAGGGTGCATCCATAATATATGTCAAGGCACTTTAATATAGACCTTTTCCATCTCGTTCACTATACACTGCCCTCTCCTGGTATATATATTTATCAAACACAGAGATTCTCCAAAACTGTGTGTTCCTATTACAGAGCTATTGCTTAAGTTAATAAAACGTCACATTTTGAAATAACTTTGTGTTTCCTGTCCCCTTTTATCTGTATTCTTTTCTGAGCTATCATTATCTCGTCATTTACAAACAATGCCTGTTTAGTTCAAGGTAATCTATAACAAACATATCTTATCGAATGGCTGGCTGGGATTTTTTTTGTCTGCACAAAATAAAAAAAAATGAATAGCACATCCCACGTATAAAATGAACATTTATTGGTGCTTTTTACCTTTTAAAAATGCTGCAAGCACAGAAAAATACTGGTTGACCCTGCCTTAAATCTATTGAGCTCCTGCTGCGCTCAAATCTCGCTCTGTGTTATAGGCCCTGCCCAATTCCCCTCTGTGGACTACAGAACACATCACCTATGTAGATGAGGAGAGGGGGACACTAGGCAGAGCGGACAGCACTGCTTGGGATTTTAGTGCAGCAGAGGCACTGTGTTGTCAGCTAGAACAGGGATTTAGGAGCACACTGGATTTCTGGGAGATCGATCATTTTTTCCCTGTATTTTTAAAGGAACAAAACGAGGAGATATGTGCATGTATTATAGAGATGTACTTTTTATTTTATTTATTTTGCCCAGCCATACACTTTCGTATAATTAAACACTTTTTTTTTTTTTCTCCTAACCTCCTACGTGGTGCTTATGACGAAAGAGGACAGTACTGATAGGTAGGAAGGAGGAATGGGGAATGCACTTGTGTTCATGTGTAGTGCCCTGAGTAGCGCTAGATCACGTCTACATTCCTTTCTGACTGGTTGTGAATATTAGGCAGCTAGTTGTAAATATTCAAAATGGTAAGGAGTCATTTTGTTTTATAAGAGCCATAAACGGCGACACTAATAACCTACTTGGACAGATAGATCTGTATCTGTCTGTCGACTCTAAGCTGCCCGAATCGCTATATCAGTCACAACTGTGTCTAGAAATGTGCCAGTGCTGTCCGTTCCAAACCTGTACATTGTGGATTAAGTATATATATGTTCCTGCGATACTCTGCTTGCACAGCTGTATAAATTGCACAGTCACTGTGATTGAGGATGTCACAATGCTTTGTGGTTTGTTTTGATGGTCACGGCATATTTTCTTTTATTTTCTCTGCTGAACTTCGCAGTACACTTCCCTTTTTATCTTTTATTTTTTATCGGCAACCTAAAAGAAGTCCCAAACGTGTTTTTATAAGATTGTATTTTTAGGGCTTGTTCACACGATGTCCGGATTCTGTCCAGACCAGAACAGTTAGCTCCTGCACTAAAAACGCATCACAATGTATCCCTATGTGTTTTCTGGGCTCCAGTTCACACCAGCGCAGTGCTTTCCGTTCCAGACTGAAAAAATACTGCATGTCACATTTTTTTTTGGTCTGAAACTCATACGAACACGTCAAAACCGCGCCAGAAATGCACCGCACTGAGAAATGTTTTTTTTTTATTTTTGCTCTACTTCGGATGATCTCATTACCATTGGACTTCCTGTTTGTGGTGTAACAACAGAAGGAAACCCTGTACTGTTGACCAACATGTCCCAGGACACTGAGTGTATTGTGGGTTTGATGGAGCATGCTCCCCAGGTTTATGCCCCTCGGAATCCCCAATATGAGTGTGCACAGGAAAATTAGAGATGGAGAGAGATTGACTCAATGCTCCATGAGGATTTTGCTTTATTCACTAGTGTGTAAAAGCATGTGAGTAATTTCACATATCTTGTATGTTGCCTTACTGTATGCTGGTCATGTTATCCAAATAAAGTAGTATATATTTGGGGTTATTATGCTGCAGGAAGATTTCCCATTCTTTGCAATGTATAATGCTCTTTTGTCCCCTCTATCCATATATGACACACCCCACACTCCTCCCTCCCTCCAGCTGATTGTACAGACTGTGTGTAAGACTGTCCAACATACAGTACCCAAAAACATGTAGTTGCAGCCACAACTGGGGAGAGGCAGGAATCTCCAACAGCATTAGAAAATATACATTATCTATTGCCTGGTCTCATAAGGACATAAGCACAAAGTGCTGCACAGATTTGAGCCAATTTCTACCCACTCCCCTCCCTAATGTAGCCTTTTTTTCCATTCCCCCAAACCAAAGACCAAACAAAACATTCAGATAGAAGAACGGTTTACATTTTTACATTTTAGAGACAGAATAACTTGTGCAAGGGTCATAAACTGTCTTACCTAACCAGATTAGAACAAGGAGAGCATGGGGTGTAAGCAAGCTGTGTTTGTTTCTGCCAGGCAAGCTCACCAGCAGGGGGGTCAGGAAATATCCAGCATAAGAAAAAAAAAAAGAACTGGAACGCGTCAAAAACGTGTTGCACCGCGTTTGCAGATCTGCTCCGGATCTGGACCAGAAAAAGATGTGAACAAGCCCTTAGGGAGAGTAATCGGTTTTGCCCCATCTATTATTAGTGACTTTCTGTAAGGTCAGCTGCCTGGGTGATCGGATATGATATGATATAATATTATATATATATACACTTATACTGAAGCTTCTGCTGTTCTGGCTATTCACTGTGGGATTTGTTACATTATTTTTTGTTTTTAGCATGGATAGAGCGAGCTCTTTGAATTTAGAACTGGCAACAGTGTGCTTGTTTAAGAACAGGCAAGGTTGGGAATAATAAAGGCAATTCTAAAAAAGAAGTGTCAATAGAAAGAAGAAACAGTCTGTACAAATTGGTAGTGAAAGAGTAGAGTTTCAGGAGGTATGAGAGTGGGCTGTTTCTACAGGAGATAGAAGAGTTCCAGAGGCTGTGTAAGAGGGGAGTGCTCGGAGGGTATGGTAACGTAAAGTATGTGAAGGAGAGGATTGCAGGAGAAGGGTATGACAGCAGGCGGTATGTGCAAGAGAAAAGTGTAGAGGGGTGACGGTTGGCAATGTGTGCGGGGGAGAATTATAGAAGGTATG